AATGGTATATCATTGGTATTAGTGTAATAACCCTCACCACTGATTATTGATTAAGCTACTGATTACTGCTAAACTGAGACTGATCATGATAAGTAATTGAACTGACTGAAAAACTAAACTGATTGATTGAATGTGCTAGTTTAAATGCATATCTATCTGTTGACTGTTAAACTATCTGTTCGTGTTTTAAGCTTTAAATTGCAAATTGAAGGCCTTATCGGCGGCCGAACCGGAAATTGATTAGTGTTTTATGCTAATTGAGATTTATATGTTTTTATGGTGTATTTACTTGAAATGTGATTCGGTATGATTAAATTAGATTAAATATTGATAAATCACAACGGTTGCCTTATTTACCAAACTACCATCCTAGTGGGCCACTATACAAAACATATTTGAAGCTTTAATACATTGTTAGCAACATTTCATCAACCATTTCTTGCACTCAACCGACTGGAGAGAGAGAGAATAGGGAGATAGCTTGATTTCTTCTTGATTTGCTTGGAGGCTTAGAGATTTTGGAAGATAATTGGCTAATTGAGCTTCTAGACCTTTCATTCAAGACTTAAGGTAGGAGGATCACCTTCTTGATTGTTAAATTAAGCTAGTTCTTGTATGGTTCATGGTTTAGTGTAGAGTAGAGTCAAGCTTTGGTCTAAAAATGTTGAGTTGAAGCTTAATCCATGCATGCATGTATACATTGTTGAATTTAAAGTTGTTTTCATAAAAATTGTTACTTGCATGTCCAAGTTCTAGCTAAGGTTCATGAAATCATCATGTTTTTGTAAGAATTGGCTCTTTGGAGCCAGTATTGAAGGCTTGGAGTTGTTTAAATCCATGCATGTGCATGTTTACCATGTTCTTGAAAGTTTGGTTTGAAATTGGATTTAATTGAACTATCTTTGGGCTTTGAATTTACAAATTGATTTTTGAAACATGTTATATTATGAGTTTTGAAGTGTTTTCCAGAAAATTGGCCCAAAAGGATCGAATTTGGTACATTGAAACTTGGTTTTGAGCTTGAGGTTCGAATCTGGAATTTCCAGATTTTGGACTCACACTCGAGCGGGGTTATTGGCGCTCGAGCGGGAAAATCGTGTTTCCAGCACTTTGCACTGTTTTACAGTTCGCTCGAGCGGGGTTTTGCATGCTCAAGCGAGGACTTGTGTCACACGCTTGAGCGGGTATCGAGCGTGATTTTCACACATCCAGTACTTTTTCAGTACGCTCGAGCGGGAAAGTTTACGCTCAAGCGGAGTCTTTTGTTTGCATGTCCGCTCAAGCGGGGAATGCTACGCTCGAGCGAGACCCCTGTTTTCTGAAAACTCTGAAAATGTTTTCTAAGTGCATCTTTGCATCCTCATTTCATTCTAGGCATTCTTAGGCCTAGTTTAAGGCATCTTGATGAGGATATTGATGTAGAACCACACCGAGTCAAAATAGGGATTAAGTTATTATTTTCCTAACTGTGTAGGATTGGCTTTTGGAGACGTGCTATAGCTTATTTGTAGCCCAGAACTCTATGAGTAACAATGCTGTAAAGATATGTTCGAAAATGAATATTTCCTAAATGATCAACTGAACTGTTTACTGTTAATTGAATGAATGTTTGTCCTCTATTCTGAACTGTATTGTGGCATCCTTAGCAACTACTGTTACTGTTACTGCTACTGTTACAGAGATCTCTGTCGGTTCCCATGTTTGGAACCATAACTGATGGCCATCATTGACTGTTCAGTTTTTCAAGACCTACTATTTACTGTACTGTTCTGCTATTGGATGTACCACATATGACTGTTATGACTAAATGACTGATATACTGAAGCAATTAACTGTTTTCCATACTGAAAGGACATTCATTCTTAACCTCTTTACACATTATGTTATTCACTGGGCTTTAGCTCACTGCTCATATATATATATGTAGGTGTACAGGCACCAGACCGGAGCTAGGAGCGTGGGTTAGACTCCCTTTTGTCAAAGCCAACCACTGTGCCTCACTGCGAGGTTCCGAGCCTATCAAGCTAGGGCTTTTGGGGTGTTTTAGTTTTTCCCTTTTTGTATCTGTTATGTAACTATTGTTTAGAGTGATCAACGTTGCACTGTACTGTTAATAGGGATTAAGTCCCTGTTCCTGAATGATTGTATATATTGCACATACTGTTTTGGTGCTGATTGTACATGTGTTTATAAAAAATCTTTTTGCATACAGACTGTCACAGCTCATTGGACATTGTCTATTTACTGTTTTGGTTTCCGCCATGCCCCTGTACTCTGCATTATTGTTTGACTGTTAAGCAGGCATTCGGTAATCACGGATTACTGGCCGGTTACGGTACTAAACCCATAGGGACGGGTTTGGGTCATGACAATTAGTTCAGTTAACCAGAGTCGAATAATATATCAATGTTCGACTAACTACAACCGAAAAAATTGTATTTGTTCGGATTCATAGTGTCGAACATAATCCAATTACTCGGTTTGTAAGTATCGAACAAAAACCATATGTTCAGTTAAAAAAAATAGAACAATTTCATTTAATTCAATTCTGTACTGTTGAACACTTATATTTTTTTTTTTTGGTTTTTCCAGAATTGTGCATCCGTGGAATGCAGTAATGTTGGATCTGGGGGTCTTGTTGACTACACAAGTCAATTTATTACTAATGAGGTAGTCTCATGTCGAAAATTAGTTTTTTTTTTCTTTTTCTTTTCACATGTTCAATGACTTTGTTGAATTTGACTTGTAGGTTTTCAAGAGCAAAGAAGAATTGCTCGATTAGGTACGAGACGTTGGAAGGAAAAATGGGTTTATGATTGTCATCAAGACATCGGACTATGGTGTTGGTCATAGGACACCAAGGATATATCTTGCCTGTGAGAGAAGTGGTCAATACAATGCTCATAAGAAATTAAAAGGAGATAATTCAAACAAAAAAAATTGTGAAGATAATGGGTACAATGAAATGCGGGTGTCCCTTTGAGTTTAGGGCTCATAAGTTGATGGCTGATGATGATTGGATAGTAGATGTAGCATGTGGAATGCATAACCATGCACTTGCTAAACATTTTGAAGGACATTCATTTGCAGGGAGATTATATGAGGAAGAAACATCATTATTAGTGGATATATCCAAAAGCATGGTCAGACCAAAAGAGATTTTGGTTACATTGAAACAAAATGATGCTTTGAACGTAACCACTATGAAAACCATTTACAATGTGCATCATAGGAATAATGTTATTGAGAAAGCTGGGAGATCACAAATACAACAGTTGTTGGGTGAATTAGAAAAGCATAATTACATTGAGCGCCATAGGTGTGACAACAACACGATGACTGTCACGGACTTGTTTTGGGCACATCTTGTCAGTTTAGATTTGCTCTGTTCATTTCCAAAGGTGTTGATCATGGACTGCACATATAAGACAAATTGATATTGTTTTCCTCTTCTTGAGATAGTTGGTGTGACATCCACTGATATGTCATTCGCCGTAGCCTTTCCATATCTCCAATTTGAGCAGATTGATAACTACGTTTGGGTGTTAACTACATTGCGTAGTCTCTTGGATGACATTGCTATTCTTGAGGTGATTGTCATAGACAAGGATCTTGCTTTGATGAATGCTATTGATAGGGTATTTTCTACATCTCGACATTTATTATGTTGATGGCATATTAGTAGAAATTTACTAGCAAAAAGCAAGAAAATATTTAAGAGTAAAGAGGAATGGGACAAATTTATCTCTTCATGGAATTTCTTAGTACTCACCTCAACTGAGCTTGAATACAATGAACACCTTGCTAGACTACTTGCGAATAGGGTCGAGTGGCGTAGGTGGGATGGTCTGAACCCTACCAAACTATCTAAGAACCCTTTCAGGATGATAGGGTTCAACTACATCCAAACACTTCAAACAGCCAGTATAAAATGTGATCTCATGACATGGGTGATGTTGACAGAAATGTCGATATGGATCCTAAGTAACCTAAGAGAGAAACACAAATGAAATCTTGATGAGTAACATGTAATAAGAAAACTTAATTACACTAATATTAATTGGTATACCTAATCAAATGTCAATCTGTCAAGCTCCTCCCATAACATCTCTAGGTGTGATATCGTTGAGCGAGCTTCTCGACGAGGAGTCCATTGATGCATGTGAGACAATTGTACAGTATATTCCATGTTTTGGTGAGGTCTAAATGGCCGGAAATGCTCATAAATTCATGTCTCCAACAATGTTATGTAACCAGTCATCTGTCGAACAACTGATCTCATGGCAAATCCCAACTGTCGGTATAAATATGCCAATGTAACTGCACCCCAAGCATATGTATGAATATCAAACAAATCCATCAACAACTATAAGTACACAACAGGAACTCTCGTCCCATTCTTGTCGCTGAACAGTGTACATCCCAATAGAAATAGCAAATACGCTCTGGCAGCATAAGCTATGGATTCCTCGGTGTCTGAATCTTTGCAACCACTGAATTTGCTCTGTAACCACTCTAACTTCACTGATTGTCCCCTAGTAGATGATAGCTCCTTAGTTGCTTCAGTATCATCAACTCCCAAGGCATCTACTACAAGTGCATGTGACTGTTGATCTATCAAAGTTGCAGGACTAACTGATCTACCTATGATAGGGATCCCCAAGATGGTACCCACATCATCCAATGTCATTGTCATCTCACCAACTGTCAAATGGAAAGTATTTGTCTCTGGTTGCCATCACTCAACAAATGCAGATATGACAATCCTATTCACGAACCAATATGTGCAATGGACCAAAGAAGTTAGGCTTGACTGCTGCACAATGTCTCTAAACCTTCTATTGTCAGTTCTTGACCACCACCGTCACTCAAGAATCTTGGACGCATGATTATAACACCTTAAGGGATTCCTTTCCTAGAAGGTAAGTAATAATTTACATAAATAATTTTGTTCAATAAATAATTAAATGAAACAAACATGGAAAAAAATGTATACTACCTTTTGCTCTCATATAGCTACTGCAATATGTGCCTTAAAGCTCTTCAGTACTGATGGATCTGATGGCCTCCCAGGAAATGGACCAGTGAGTACCTCCTCAGCCTAATCTACATCAGCAGCATCATCATCATCCCCTAAACCATTATCAATCACATCCTTTTCCAAGATTTGAAGTGCTTTCTCTAACACAATATCATCACCCCGACCCCGACCCCGACCTCGACCTCGGCCACGACCAGTATTTGTTAATGCACGACGTCGTCTCTCTGAGGCAGTGGGTGGAATAAGCGAAAGGTCATCCATTTCTGAAAATGAAACAGAAAACAATAAAGTTAACAGAAGTAACACGAATCATTTATGTTAAAATACTCATAATCATTCAAATTCTTATTTCTTTAAGTTCGAAATAAGCCACAATGACTTGTTTTGTAGAATTGATTGGGACTGCATACCAACATTGGGTAACATCCTTGATTTAAAAAAATAATTACAAAAAAAAATTTTAAAAAAAAGCATAAATTAAGCAGATCCTAGTATGGCAAACATAGCACATAAGTAACACTCTATTTGATTATGTGAAAGCATAATAAATTGATTTTATGAAAGCATAGTGGTTGTGTAATCTACTTGTCTGGCCCTCTAGCTAATGTTCACAACAAAGAAATCAATAAGACGGAAAAAAAAAAAACTGTTCGACAGAATTAGAACTCGCAGCACATAGTTCTCTCCAAACAATAATAATTAACATTTTGAACAACTTTTCTTTTTTCTTCTACAAAGGCAGAAAGTATTTTATTTTATTAACAAAAATCAAGCTAAATCAAAAATCAATTATAAGTGGAATCCTATCAACCAAGTAGCCTACGGGCCCATCCCAAAATTTTGTTGAATTCAATAGGTTGACACAAATTAAAAGTGGTCTGAATTATTGAATTTTTTCATAAACTAAAAACTAAAAGCACCATTATCAAGAAAAAAAATATTGTCTCGATTATATGGCCATCAAAATCTTGAAGGTCCTGTGGTATTAAAGACTAGCCCTCATGTCTGCATGTAAGCCACATTATTGAGCCAGGTGCATAAAAAGAAGAAATTGAATACTACAAATACCATATCATATTCTAGATCAAGGAAAATTCACTTTAACTACATCATTGTGGGTTAAAATAGCTTACAATTAGTAGAGTCAAACTTAGCTAGTCCATACACAAGAAAAGTATATTAAGAGAGAGAAAGAGAGAGAGATGGGTCTGTGTGTAGAATAGTATTGCTGTAGTTTTCCTTTTACAATGAGAGTAGAAGACAATGGTCCTTAAAGGGACTTATACCTACTTTATCAGTTTACCACCCACATAGCCACTGAGAGCTGAAAACTACATGACAACCAAGACCTCCATCTTCACAAATCACCATTATTACACATCCAAACCCCTTGACAGGCTAGCACTAGCCCACATGAAAGAGTCCAAAAACAAACTCAGATAGTGTTGCTGTGATAACCCTGTTCCTTATTATGCTGATTGGTCCTTAATGTGAATATGATTATGTGTTTGATATGATTTGATGTGCCATTATGTGAAAATATGTGGTTTTGAATTTCTATCTGTTCACCATAGGAATATATGTTTGACTACCTGCTTTGGAATTTAAATTGAAGGCCTTATCGGCCACAGAAACTGAAATTGATCGCGCCATTGTGATTGGCATAATTTTTAGAGCCTACGGTGAAATTTAGTTGGAAATTGATTCGGATCGAATTAATTAGATTAAATTAAGAATATAGTGCCCAATTATTTAATATTTATAATTTTGATTAGTGGGACTTTTATATAAAGGGCCATATACACTCAATCTCTCTCTTTTACTTAACTTGGCTGATTTTAACTCTAAGCAAAAGAGAGAGGGTCGGCTAGAGAGAGAGGAAGAAGGAGAGTTGGGTGTTTAGCTCAAGTTTGTGAAGATTGGAAGGCCAACTCTAGATTTGACCATAATTTGGGAAGATTAAAGCCTCTAGCTAAGTGAATACATGAATTTTAAATTATAATTTTGTGAATTCAAGTTTGATTAATGGACAAGAACATGAATTTAATTGAGTATGATGAAATTGAGTTGGTTTTGTTGAATTGAAAGCCAATATGCACATGCATGCACGAAATGGCTACAAATTTCCATATTTGAGCACAATGTGTATGATCCATGTTGAATTTTTGGTTTAAGTCCATGTATTTGATCATCTCTTCACCAATTAAGTTGAGAATAATGAGTATCTCCCACATGCATATGCAAATCATGGAGGTGTGATTTTGAATGTTTGAATTTAATGTGTTGGTGATGAGTTTGGGTCAATTTGAGGCATGCATGTAAGTAATTCAAGGAATTGAGCTTCATTGTGCTGTAATTTGGTGTTTGTACCATGTTAGTACTTTTTTATATGAAGTTTGAGCCATTATATGCAAGAAATGTTAGTTGGAATATTGAATTTGAGCTCAAGAACCATTCTGGAAAACCCAGAATTTTTTATGTCTGATCGAGCGGAGGAACCGACGCTCGAGCGGGAAAAATGGGCTCCCAGTATTTTTGCAGACTTGGATGTCCGCTCGAGCGGGGGAAGTTCACGCTCGAGTGGGGAGCTATGTAGACTGAACTTCCGCTCGAGCGCCCAACTTCACGCTCGAGCGTAAATTTGATGCAACCAGCACTTTTGCAGACATATTGGGTCCGCTTGAGCGGGAACCCCTGTTTCTGAAATTTTAAAAAGGCATTCTGTGTTTCGTTTTCTGTTTTCTTTCACTTCTAAGTACTCTTAGGCATACATTGAGCATTGTAATTGAGTTAAAGGATAAGAATGAAGCCTAAAGAAGAATAGGTGAATTAAGAACGGATTGAATTGTTTGTGACCCATATGTGTTATGTGATGTGTAGGGTCAATTTCCAGGGCAAATCAACCAACCGATCACTGTGAGTAATATCTGATTTAAGATATTTGAAATATATCATTTGTCCAATTGCTTACTTCTATGTAAGTCTTATAAGTCTATTTATCTGTATGATAATGAATGGGCCAGAGGCCAATATGATCTAAATGATAATGAATGGGCTAGAGGCTAGTACGATCTGAATGATAATGAATGGACCAGAGGCCAGTATGATCTGAATGATAATGAATGGGCCAGAGGCCAGTATGATCTGAATGATAACGAATTGACCAGAGGCCAATCTAATCTGAATGATAACGAATGGGCCAGAGGCCAGTATGATCTGAATGATAGAATGAATGGGCCAAAGGCCAGTTTGACATGATTGAAAGAATGGTTCGGCCAAAGGCCAGTCTGATATGAATGAAAGATAAATGGGCCAAAGGCCGTTTGACATGAATGGTGGGCCCGAGGCCGTCTGATGTGTTTGGAACCGCAGTTACTTGATATATATATACACTTGATGGCAATATGAATTAGGCCTAAGGCCGTTTGATGTATGTTGTTCTAATGCATCTTCTTTATTTGACATTATTCACTGGGCTTTCGCTCACGCTCATTCATGTGTTTGTAGGTGAGCCAAGAGAGGTCCAGACCCAGCCTCAGTGAAGTCTGTATGGAACAACTAAGGTTTTGAAGAGTCAGCCCTTACGTCTCACGAACGAGACACGTCTTCGCCCTTTTGTTATTTTATGTT